GTGAAGGCAAGGTTGCTGTGTCATGGAACTGTGCTTCTACTGTGCTTCCCACAAGCTGGATTTTATCCTCGTATGCAGAGGGGACTGAACAAAAAGCTTTCCATAGGAGAGTGACATGACCCAATTTGTGTTTTAGAAAGACAAATTGGCTAGCAGTGTTGAGGATAGATGGGAGGAATTAGGAAACCTGGAGGCAGAGAGCTAGAGAAGATTGTGGGATGGCAGTGATCTCATAAAAGAGGCAGTTTGGATGTGAACTGGGGTCCTCTGAGTATAAGTCCAGCATACCTGTCACTGCCAAGGGACCTCCTCATCTAGTTGGGTTATGATTCACATGTGCACCCATTTTTAAAATCAGAAATGGCACACCACACTCTGCATGCTTTTTTCCTTCCCTGAAACATTAGCTCCACCCACATTTAGAAATACTGAAAATACTTTGTCCTCCTTTTCTCTCCCTTTCTGCTTTTCATGTGGCTGTCCTCAGTGCCTGCATCTAATTAACTCAGCCCACTTTCCCACTCAGAGCTCCTTCTGCAAACCAGACTGACAGGGCCAAGTGACAAAGTGAATTATATTGTTCTTAGATATTTGGCCTTGTTTTCCTTGGGCCACAGCCTGACTTTTTTGTGCCCTTGGAATGAGGGCACCTGCTTATTTTCAAGAGACTCTTATCCAAGGCCCACCCAGATGGCAGAGCATTTTGTGATTGTCAGGGGCTGCTCGTTCTTGGACTTGGTTCACTAAAAGCTGGACAGAAGGCCAAGCAGACCTTGATAACTCTTCCATCCTCCCTCCATGGTGGGGGGCATTGGCAGCACCTTAGAGAATGCACAGGTGTTGGTTAATAAGCTTTGCATACAGGTTAATGAAGGAAGAAAAGAGAACCAACCTACTGTTTCATGCATGCATTACTGGAATCATTTTGGGATGTTGAGACTAAAGTAAAAAAAGGGGGGCGGATTCATTTAACAGAAGGACATATGGAAAAAAGGTGAGAAATACAGTAATTAGTAATAGCAAATGGACACAAAAGGTTGCAGTAGATAAATGCATATAAAATTATAGACATGCTTAGCTTTGGTTCTTATAATGTGGTTTTAAAAAGAGTCATTTAAAGCACCTGTTTCTATTGAGCACCTACCACGTGAATTTTCTTCATCGCTCCTGGGGCTGCTGTAGCAACCTGGCTGGAAGAGTGGCTGGATAATTAGAGATCTAGTTGCAGGCAGTGCCAGAAGTGAACAGAGAGCCAAGAGGAGTGGTGCAGGTGCTCCAGCATTGGTTTTGGTCCTGAGGGCTGTCGATTATCAGGTGACAGCATACACTCAAAGAGAATGATGATCTTGTGAGTCATATGGTATTCGTAGCACACATGAATGTGACTGCACAAATTCATTTTCTTTAATTCAAATGGAACCTGGCTCTGAACACTCCTCCTCCTCCCATCTGGAGATGGATTGATTCTAATGAAACCTTAGTGAGCTCTTCCTCATCCTTAATACCATACACCACCACCTCCAGTGGAGGTTAAACAACAATCCAGGAGGCCTGGGAGGTGCCTCACAAGAGGCCAGGCCTCTCATCTTCAGATTCTGAGTTTTCTGCCAATACTCATATTGCCCACATCTACAGAGACACTTAAGGTTGTGCATCCTCACAAATTTCCCTGGGAGCTTAGCTGAAGAACAGTACTGGGTGAATACAGGTACTGAGTGTCTGCTGGGGGCATCATGGAGCATCAAGTCCCTCTGGGCTCTGACCACCTTCCTGGGTTGCATCAAAGGGGCCTAAGTACCCCGTCCTCACCCAGCCCATGGGCTTCTCTCCCTACCTCACCTCTTCAGTGAGTTCAAGACAGGACAAAGCATTCTAGTAACTTCTACTTTCTGCTTGGAGGATGGAGTGACAAGAAAGAGAAAGGACCCCACTAACTTCCTGAAATCCAAGAGTGGAGCAGTGAGGAGGAAAAATATTGAGGACTCAATGCAAATTAATACCTTTTTTTTGTAGTTGTAGATGGACAGAATGTTTTCATTTTATTTGTTTATTTTTATGTGGTGCTGAGGATCGAACCTAGTGCCTCACGCATGCTAGGCAAGCGCTCTGCCACTGAGCTACAGCCCAGCCCTGCAAATTAATATCTTAATAAATGATCCTGCTACAGATCTTATTAATTTATGGGCCCTGCAGAGAGGCAGCAGAGCACTGTGGGGATGGAATGCTTGGAATCTTGACTCTGCCCTGTCGTGACACAGGACTAAACCAACCCATCAGGGTCACTCCAGGAGAACTGGGCTGGCACAAAATAATGACACATAGAGAAATACCTTTTTCTTTGGGTTCAGTGACCACTCCTCAGCCGCAGCTCCCACAAGGGGGTCAAGGCAGGCAAGAAAGAGAAGGAGCATGTCTCAAACCCAGGTTTTAGTAATGGGGTAAGCAAATCCACGAACATTCTATCCAAAAAAAGGGCAAAGGGTAGGTAGGGTCACAACAAACAAGTGGATGTAATTCAACCCCAATGGGTGACACCTACACTTAATTGCATTGCAATGGGTGCAATACCAGTTCAGTACCTCTTTAATCAGAACCTAAAGTGTTTACTATAGCTCCTGTCCAGAGCAGCTCCCAACACTGCCCCTTACTGTCCACACCACCGTGCCCCAGTTTCCTCATAAGTAAAACAATGATGATAATGATAGTACCTATCCTGTTCTGTTACTGTGAGTTTCAAGTGATAATCCACAGCACTGAATATAATAGTATCAAGACAGGGGGGTGATTTATTAGATGTCAGTTGTTATTGAATTTCTGCTTTCTCTGATGCCCACATCAACCCTCCTTCCTTTCAAAATGTCACTAAGCCAACAATGGCTCTCTCTATTGATACCTCCCTGTCCACAACCAACAAGATAGAAAGAGAAGGAAAGAGGGAATGAGGAAGGGAAGACTCATCCTGCATGAACCTTGCTGAGCTGGAGTGTGGTTCTCACCTTTACCTCCCTAAATGGCTGCTCTGGGTAGAAGAGAGAATGTTCTATCGGGGATGATGTTTCCTTGTCTGTCTGTCTGTCTGTCATTCCTCATGCCCCTTTGGTTTCTCTATTATTAGACTTTGTTCAATTTTTAATGATGGATATTTTGTGTGTTTGTTTATTCAATGTCTCCTCTCCCAGCAGATTATATAGCTCTAGAGGGCAGGGATTAAGTGTGTTTTATTGACCAAGTACAATGATTTGGCTTTAACTTTTTAATCTATTAAATGAGGATGGTAATACCACTTTTGTCTACTTCACTGAGCTGTGAAATTAAAAAAGATAATACATGGGAAATGTCCTTGTAAATCATAAAATGTGATGCAAATATTAGTTATGCTTAGTGCCATGTCTGTTTGAATGTACATCACTTGCTGAATACTTGGGTGGTGAGCTCCAGGACACATGAGCATTTTGTTAGATGTGATAATAGAGGAGAGTGCTTAGAAAAGGATGCATGTCTTGACAGCCTTTATTGTGTGACATCACAGATGGCACCAGGACCTCTAAAAATAACCATATTCACTTAGTTCACTCATAGGTTTGAAGTTTTTAAACAGAAGCACCCAGGGAGTAACCCAGAGCAGACAGATTCCACATACTGGGGGAATTTTCACAAATCAGTTCTCAAGCACGATGTTCCTGTTCTACCAAGAGGCAAGGGTGATCAATATGACACCTTCCACTGCTTCCATAGTAGTGGGGTTGCAGAGGGAGGCCAGACTGTTCCAGAAAGTGACTTATGCCACCAGCATTCACAGACACAAATGGGAGAAGGATGAATCTCCTTAAATCCAAATATCACATGAATATTTGCAGCAACGTTTTGAACAGGGAGAGTTGGAGCCGGAGGAATATGGTCAATGAACTGCTATGGTTTGGATAAGAGTCTCCTCAAATCAAAAAGCTTGGTCTGAAACCTGTGGCGGTATTGGAACCTTTGTGTGGTGGAGCCTTTTGGAAGGAAATTAGGTCACAGGGGGCATGCACTTGAAGGGCATATGGGGACTCTAGCACCTCCCTCTTTGCTCCCTGGCTGCCATGAGGCGAGCAGCTTCCTTAACTACTGACTCTCATCGTGCTGTGCTGCCTCACTGCGGGCCCAAACAACATGACCCACCAACTATGGACTGAAGCCTCTGAAATTGTCATCCAAAACAAATCTTTCTTCTTTCTATGTCTGTTTATCTCAGGCATTTGTTACAGTCATAGGAAGCTGACTAACACATGAATGTACTAGATGTGGAATGTAACTACTCTGCCTTTGACACATAAATCAGGAAATAAGAAATTATCTATTCTGATGGCCCATGTGGGTCATGAATCACTGAGGTTGGGAACCCAAAGACCAAATGGTGATAAAGCAGGAGGATAAAGAGAGAAGGATCAGATTGAACCAAAACCAGAAACATGTTTCTTTACTAAAGCCGTTCTTGGGTTTTGTCCTATCTCTTAGGGAATAGGATAAGGTGTTATTACTATAATTGTACTGGATATTCCTTATTGTCCTATGTGCATACAATTATGGCTTAACGAACTATAGTTTGCATGTTTTATGATGTCTCTGGTTCTCCAAAGGCCCCAGGTTCTGTGGTAGTAGGAGAAACTAGTTTTTCCCAGACTCTCAGCTCAGGCCTGAGTGAGGCCTTACTTGATGTGTCTTTATATAGCTGTGACTCTGTGTTCACAGACGTGAGCAATAATCCAGGATAAGTAGGGTAACAGGACAAGGCAGGACAGGAAATGGTCCAGTAGGAAAAGAAATAGGCCCCAGGAATGCACAGGAAAGTGAATTTCACATTGGACCCACAGAAAGTCAGCTCCATTGCAGATGTAGGATCTGCAGAGACCAGGGCTGAGAAGTTGGGATGAGCAAAAGTCATACATGACCACATTGGAGGGGATGGAATGGTGGCTTTACATGTTAGAGGGGTGTGAAGGAGAAAGGAGAAAAACTTGTAATAAGTTTTTAAAACAAAACTTTAATCCAAATGACTGTTACTAGCACAAATGTTTGATCATAGGCTTGGAAAGATTGGAGTTAGCTTTACTTTTATTTGCCATGGAATTGTGGCCACAGAAAGTAGCTTTTCTCAGGCTGGGTTTTTCCTTTCCAATCATGGTCCACCTGGTGTGAGGAATGTGTTTAATGGAGAGCATGTGGAAACGTCCGAAAGTCAACAGCTGGCGAATCAGAAATGGCCTTTTAGAAATTGGTTGTTGATGGGAAGTGAGAAACCCATCAACAGGGCCAGGCTGTGATGAGGCAGGAAGCGGAGAGACCAGGCTAGCCCTCTGCTTGAGGGCAAAGGAGGAAGGAAAGCAGCCCAGAGAGGAGCTGGAGCAGGGAAATCACAGAGGAGAGGCAGAGGGCCAGGAATGGAAAGTAATGCCTCCATTTTGCCCAAGGGCAGACTCTGATCTCCGGAAAAGGGAGCACATTTACTTAAAGAAAAGCCATCGCTGGATCTGCCCTTGAATCCCTGGAGGAAAGCCCTGGCTCTCTCCTGACACACTTCATCCTAGCTGTGAAGGTATTTCTGGAAGAGACACATGAAAGTAAGCAGGGTACTGAAAGGAAAGCCAGTGTGGAAGCCAGTGCCCGGAGGTGGAGGCGGCTCCTTCAGAGAAGACAGGGAAGCTTTGTGTGTCCCCAGCATGAGGAGCCCCCACTTTCCCATCTCTCAGGCCAGCTGCATCCCAGCGACATGCAGGGGCTCCTCTGTTCCACTCTTCTCTTCACCGGGCTGGCACAGGTAAATCCTTCCTCTTTCCCTTCCAGAGACTCTAGCCATTTCGAGTTCTTCAGGCTAAAAATAAAAAAGGAAGAAGATGGGGGAAAATTACTAGTGGGAAAATAGGGAGCCATTTTTCTCTCCAAGTAAAGTTCTGTTTGAGTGCATTAGCTTCATGAGAGAAATGTGAAACTCCTCTCCCTTTCAGGTTAAGGCACTGAAGTCTACTTTCGCTATGTTTAAACAGCCCTCAACTTTATATATTTTATCCAAGTTGAACATGCACTGTGACCCTGGGACAACGGCAGAGCTGGCGGCCACAGTGGAGTGAACACTGCCAGGCTGGGGCTCAACTTTCCAGGGTTGTTTGCAAAAAATGTGCAAAGAGCCCCTGGAAAGGTGGATTTTGGCAACAACTTTTTTTCCAGTGAAGCCAGTCCTTGTTTGAAAAGAGTACTTTGGAACAAACATGTACATTTTTAAAATATTCTATTACTTTGTCTTTTCTCAATCCATGTGTTTCTCACGTTTGTGTGTGTGAAAGGGAATCGGCCCATGGAGACTTGGAAATATTTCAAGCAACAGACCAAAGGGAAGTTTAATATGAGCAATTCGTTGTCTTAGTATTTTTTTTAATGAGAAGATTAAAACAAGGTGACTTATTTATTGATTCATTTACATGGTTGAGGTTGTTGGCACAGGAGACAGAGCATTTGAAATCTTCTGGTGATTTAGAAAACATGGAAATGTCTGAGTTAATAACCAATTTGAGCAGTAAGCAGTAGATATATGTTGGAAAGCAAGTTGTTATACTTAGTATTGAGGGATTTAAGACTTTAAAAATATCATGAGGATATTGTCAGTGGCCTGGGTCTTGCCCACTGTCCCATAGGGGAACACTTCCCCAATGGGGGTGAGACACGGATGTCCCTCTCCTATTCCACTTTCTGAGAAAAGGCCTTTCATTATGGACTGAGCTACTACATGTTCCTAAATAGCAAGTATTCCAATATGGAGAGATGAGTACAGTATACAAAATTAAAAAAACACAGAAAGGTGTTAAGCTTATGGTAGTAAGAAAGTATTATTTTGTGCTTCACTTCTTTGCTGTTGTGAATTTTTTAAGAGTCAGATGATATACTTACCATTTATTGAACATCAACTGTGTGCCAAGCACCGTGCTAGGCACTTTACTCATCCTAATCTGCAAAGCAACCTTACCAGGTGCATATTATCAATCCCATTTCACAGAAGAGGATTGAGGCTAGAAGAGCAAATGATAGGAAGTCTTCTACGATAATAGCTTTGCTAAAGCTCAGATCTGTTTTTGAAGTACAACCTTCCTCTTGCATTACCCTGATGACTTGTTGTCTTCAGATTTTGTTTTTGAAAACAATCAAAAAGTGTCTGAAGAAAAATATAAAATTATATCAACTTACATATTTGCTTTCCCAGTCCTTTTCATTTCTTTGATTTCTTCTTGTCTTCCTTCCTTCATTTCTTTCCTTCCTTCCTCCCTTTCTGTCTCTGTGTCTCTGTACTGGGTATTGAACCAGGGACATTATACCTCTGAACTATGTATAAAACTATAATCATTAAAAATATAAAAATATGTAAAATTATTATTAAAATATACATGCATATAAACTATAAATAAAATTATTATATTTTTTTTTAGACAGGGTCTCCCTAAGTTATCCAGGGCTGGCCTCCAACTTGCCATTCTTCTATCTCAATCTCCTTAGTAGCTGGGATTATAGGCCTGCACCACCATGTATTTCTGAAGTTACTATCTATGATAATTTTCTTAATATTTCTTCCTTTAAAAAAATTTTTTTAGTTGCAGATGAACATTTATTTAATAAATTAAATAAATACATTTATTTAATTTATTTTTATAGGGTGCTGAGGATCAAACACAGTGCCATACGTCTGAGGCAAGAGCTCTGCCACTGAGCCACAATCCCAGCCCTTAATATTTCCTGTGAGGCAAGTCTCTTAGAAACTTCTCTCAGTGTTTGTTCATCTGGAAATGTCCTTTAATTTTCCTTCATTTTTGAAAAATAGTTTCACTGGATGTGGAATTCTAGGGTGCTGGGTTGTTTTTTTCTTTTAGGATTGTCTCTGCTGGGCATTTTCTTCTCTACCCTTTCCTTCTTTTGATGAGAATTAGACCTTATTGTTATTCTCCTGCCTGTAATACTTCACTCTTTTCAGGCTACTATAACGATTTTCTCTTTATTCTTGGATTTCAACAGTGTTACCTCCTGACTCAGAGATGATCTATAAGTGCTTCAAGACTGGAAAAATATATAGGCATTCTCAGATGGGCAGTTTGGGGAATAGGTATTATATTAGGGAGCTACAAGAAGAAAAGCAGAGAGGAGAAACCTGACATAGGTAGTTTAGCAAACAGAAAGGCATAGAAGGCAAGTGTTTTGAGAGGTAGGCACGGGCCAGACCAGACAGCTCCATGCTCAGAAGTTTGGACTGCACATTGTAGACAGTAGGAAACCACCAAGGGGATTTAAAGAGAGGAGTAATATAACCAGATATGTTCTTAAGAGAGATCCCTCCAGCAGCTATGTAGGAAATACACTAGAGAAGTTATTTTGGAGGGAGGAAGACTGAATAGGAACAGCATAGTAGTGCATAGTAACAGTGAACTGGGAGAGAAAATAAGCAGGATGAGCCACTGAATGGCTGTGGGAGGTGCAGGAGAAGAAGATGACCTGAATGACTCCTATTTCCTATCTCCAAACTTGGGAGACGTCTGGGGTGAAAGGTGATGAGTTTTGGATCTGAGTTTTTCCTTAGAATATTCAGCCAGAGCTGTTTAGTAGGCAGTCAGCTACGTGGGTCTAGATCTCTGTGGAGAAGTCTAGGCTGGAAATTTAGTTTTGAGGTTATATAGGAAGGAGGCTAAAAGCAAGAGGGCGATGAGATTGCCCAGAGACTGTGTGTAGACAACAGCAGTATATTAAGATCATGAAACACGAACAAGCCTAGATTGAAATCAAACTTAGACTAAGAGGATCCTGCCCAGGAGAGTGAGAAATTGTACCAAGAGATAGGGGAGGACTGGGAGGGCCAGGGGAAATGAAAGCCAAAGGAGAGGAGAGGGATAAGAAGGAAATGTCGAAACTTTATAGAGGGTGGGGGCAGAAAGAGGAGACTGTGAACATAAGGCCACCAACCTAGCAGCTGAATCAATGGTGACCATGGCTGAATCTGTGCAAAACTGAGAAGTAGGAAAAAAAAAAAGATTTTAGGTTGCAAATGTTTTAGGATTAGGATTTTAGTTTCATTGTTTCTACTCCCTTCTTTACTTTTGGGTTCTTTATTTATCCCTTGATCCTTCTCCAGAAGCCCAATTGTTCCAGCTTCCTCCCTCATCAAAATCTGTTCTCAGTCTGTGGCTGGAGCTCAGTGGTAGAGCATTTGCCTAGCATGTGTGAGGCACTGGACTCGATCCTTAGCACCACATAAAAATAAATTTTAAAAAATCTATTCTCACATTGTGTGTTCAACTTTTGAAGTTTGGCTGAAGTGTTAATCTTCCTGGGGTACACTTGCTTTACTAGTTATGCAAAAGAAAAGATGAGGGTTTAATGGTGGAGTTACACACTGATACTGCCCAGTGTAGCAGTTTTTGAGGTTTTGGTTTCTGGTTCAGTCTGCCTGCTCCCAGTTCCATCAAATAAACATTGAGAGTTACTTAGGTGAACATTTGCTGGCACTGGGCTAGATGCGGTAATCCCTACAAATGCCTTCAAGTGCCTGAGGTTGGGTAGCTCTATAGTTAGTGGAAGAGATGGGCACTCACATGGATAATTTTAGTTCAAAGACATTTATAAGGCAGGGAGGTGACAGAAAGCTTTCTGGGAGAGGTGGTACCTAAACAGAGTCTTGAAGGATAGCTAAGTTAAGAAAAAAAGTGAGATATGGTTAAGAATATCCTAAGCAGGAGAAATGGCCTCATATATTCAGGGAATTTCAGGCTCTTTGACTTTTTGTAAACTAAGGCATAGAAGAACTACAAGAAATATTGTGCTTAGGAGCTTTCAACTTTCCTGTAAGCCAGTAAGTGACTTTTGGGAGTGAGAGATAGGGAGATATCCAGAATGATTTCCACCTTCCTGGTTTGGGGATCTGAGTGGATGGCAACACCAGTCACTAAAATGGGAATTGCTAGCTAGCCACAGGGCAGTCTGTTGGGGATAGGGCAAAAATGAGGTCCTTGATGCACATTGAAGTGGATATACTCAGGAGCAGTTAATGAGTTGTAAATTTAAGTGGTCTAGGCTGGAGAAGGAGTCTCAGAGATTCAAGAATTTGGTATCAAAGCTGGTTTCCAGTGGGACTTGCACTAGGAAGCAGGGTGAGGATTGAGAGCTCAGGCTTGGGACTTGCTTGCCTGGTTGAAATCTCTCTTCTTGGTATGTGATCTAGTTTAAATAATCATCCTCAGCACCCTTACTTATAAACTGAGATATACAGTTTCTATGGCTACTGTAACAAATCACCACAAATTTGTTGTCTCATAGTTCTGGATATCTAAAGTCAACAAATGGGTCTTGTAGGACCACAATCAAGTGTAGGCCGGACTGCCTTCCTTTTGGAGGCTCTGGGGGTGGGGGGGATTCATTCTTCACATTTTCCATCTTTTAAGGGCTGCCTGCCTTTCTTGGTTCACAATTTCCTTTCAGGAATGACATGACTCTAACTCTACTTCTGTTGTCGCGTCTCCTCTTCTGATTTGCCTGCCTTCCTTTTTGGATGAACTTGATTAGTGATTACATTGGGCCCACATGGGTAATCCAGGATGATACTCGCAGGACTCACTTGATCACATTTGCAAAATCCCCTTTGTTAACTCGCAAGGTAGTGTGCTGGCCACAGCACATGCCTGTAATCCCAGCAACTTGGGAAGCTGAGATAGGAGGATCACAAGTTTGAGGTCAGCATCAGCAATTTAGTGAGGCCTAAAGCAACTTAATAAGACTCTGTATCAAAAAAAAAAAAAAAATGGGCTGGGGATGTGCCTCTAAGTTCAATCCCTAGTCAAAAAAAAAAAAAAAAAAAAAAAAGCAAGGTGGACTATTAACAGGTTCCAGGGACTAGAATGTGCACATCTTTGAGGGGATCACTATTTACCTGTCACATGGGATAATAACTACTGTATACTGTTGCTATGAAGGTTAAATGAAGGTGAAGTCCCTGACACATAGGATGCATCATGTTCTTACTTTTAATAAACATTTTTCTTTTCTGGAGTCAGCTAGAAAGGTATGAAGTAAAAACCTTGCTCTCATGATGCAGGAATCAAAACATTACATAGGTAATGAGGCAAGTGATAAGATGTGTCTGGAGAAAGGGCAGGGGTAGGGTGCTCTTTTTAGAGAGGGCAGAGGGCCTCACTGAGAAATTTGAGCAGATCTAAATAAAGCGAGCATTGGAGATAGTTAAGGGCAGTGCACGCTTGAAGTACTTAAAGAATGAGGTGGCCACTGTGGCTGACGCGAAGTGGTCAAGGGGTGAGTGGGAGTTGGCGAAAGAAGATAGGGAGTGAGGGCCAAATGGTGTGGGGCCTTGGAGAGCCGTTTGGGAAGCCATGCCCTGTTAGCAAGGAGTGGTGTGATCTGGCATATTTTAAAAGACTCATTTTGAATGCTGAGTGGACAAAGAAAATAGCAAGATGAACTTTTAGGAGGCTCCCAGAATCATCCAAGTGAAAAATAATAGTGGCTTGGATCAAAATAATAGCAAAGGAATGTTATGGTCAGGAGAGGTGTATTTTAAAGTTTTGACCAGTGGGATTTATTGACAAGATTGGATGTAAAACATAAAAGAAGTCAAGAATGACCTTAACTGCAAAGTGTTTTGAAAAAATAGTGAAATGGGCATTTGCTCAAATAGGAAAGTATGTGGAAAAGCAAATTGAGGGGAAAATTGGGAGTATGGTTTGATTGATTAAGTTTGCTTTTCCTGTTAAAAACCTATGTAGAGATATTACATAGGAAGTTTGAGTCTGAATTCGGAAATCTGAATTGAGGAAAAGTACTTCAGAGGTCTTAACCCCTGCTCCAGTGTTTACACATCAGAAGGACAAGAAGAAAGTGGCAAAGGAGATTGAGAAGGAGAAATAAGTGAGAGAGGAGAAATAAAAAAGCAACATCTTGGAAGCCAAGTGAAGAAAGTATTTCCAGAGAGTGAACTGTGTTAAGTGCTAATGATCCTGTAACTCACCACATTGTATTTTACCTCTTTTAGAGAAATCTTCTATTTCTCTAAGATTTCTGAAATTACTTTGAGGAACCATTTCTAACATTGCCTTTATTATCAAATGAAGTTCTGCTGCAGGGCACAGGACACAGGGCCATTAGACACAACTGAAAAAGGGCCCAGAGAAGCAACAGAAGCACATCAGCGTAAACAGTTTTGTCACTGGCCCTGCAAGTGCTCCCGTCAGAAGCCCCGCTGCTCTCCTGGAGTGAGTTTGGTGAGAGACGGCTGTGGATGCTGCAAAATTTGTGCCAAACAACCAGGAGACATCTGTAATGAAGCTGACCTCTGTGACCCGCACAAAGGGCTGTATTGTGACTACTCAGCAGACAGGCCTAGGTACGAGACTGGAGTGTGTGCATGTAAGTGTCCTTTTCTGAACCCACTGGAAAAGGCTGAGTCTAGACAGATTCCCTTCTCCTTAAATTATTAATTTGGAATGATGAGTTTAGTCTGGCTACGTACAAGGTGGGTTTAGTTTTTGTGAACCAGTGGGACTGGCTTCATTGTATTGGACACCATGGGAAATGAGCAGATGCCTATGAATGTTCAGAAATCTGTTATTTTCATTGCATTGAAGCGATCTTGCAGTTCTTTACGGGTAATTGCTTATAATGATAGGAAACAGGAGAACTTATACAGTCTGACTTCTTGACATGCCACATAACAATGGCTTTTGTTAACATTGTCAGAAACTATCTGAATTCAGCCTTTTCTGTAACTAAAAAATAATCCGGCATAACAATATATGATGTAAAAAAAGGGTACATATCAAGAACTCATACACACTGCTTTAATCTCAGCCTTCCCAAGTACAGTCGAATTTTACTGCATATTTATAAAAAAGAAAGTGGTGTCACCCCAAAGCACAACTTGACCCTCAGTTTTTTGGGTTGAAACTCTGATTCAGATTATCTACACCTAGAACACATTGGTAATGATCCAGAATGCCAAGTCATTTAGGATAAAAAACAAAATTCCTAAGGGAAGAAAAATAGGTCAGTAGGGCAGTTATTCACTCTATAGAAAAGTTCAAGTGGGAAGGTAATTTACTGCCAGAAGTTAGGTTGAGCATGAAATGAGAGTAAGTCTTTGGAGTCGGACTATGAAGAGACCATCAAGTCTAACAACTGACACCCTTGTTAGCACCATATTGTATTAAGAACGAGAGATCTGGATTTCAATCCTGGTTTTCTAACAGAGTGACTCCTAATCATGTTGATTAATCTCTCTGTGCCTCAGTTACATTACATGTACTTCATAGTTTATAGAGCTGTTTGGGAAGATGAAATAAATGACATAAAACCTAAAACACCTAGCACAGTATCTGGTATGCAGTAGAGTTTCAAAAGTATTTCTTATTTATGGAAATTCTATAGAGAAACCATGACCTATCAAAGACTTTGGCATTCAGAATACTCCTTTCTCCCAAACTGGGCAGGTTATTTCAGTAATCTAATCAACACTTAGCATCCTTTACTGAGCCAGGAATTATGGCCAGTAAGTCAGAATACAACAGAGGAAAAAAGAGATATGGGCCTTCCCCTCACAGAACCAAAGTTTATTGTATCAGATTTTTCTACAAGTAATGTCACCTAAAATGTGATGTCTTCACCAGTAAACATGAGGATGGGAATGGGGATAATGTATAACTGGGGGTCATAAATTATTGCCCAGGGGCCAAATCTAGCTCATAGCTCACTATGACAGTAAACTATGTTTTAATGGAACACAGCTCATTCATTTACATAGAATCTGTGGTTATTACAATGACAGAGTAGTACAGAGACTATATGGCCTGCGAAGGCTAAGATACTTATTGTTTAGCCCTTTAGAGAAAATTTGTTGCTTTCTGACCATAACAGTGATTTTAAAAAAGTTACTGTCTTAGAAATTAATAAGGATCCAAAAAACTTTTGTTTATATGGATTTTATCTACTGATATTTAATGGATTAGGAATTTTAAAAATTTATTTAAACATAACAAACCTGTTGCAAATTAATAGGAATGATATATTTTGATGAAAAAAATATTTTCTATGACAGAAAAATTTAGTGATGAGAGTGGCATGATTTTACATTTTTGTAAATCTCTCTGATATCTAGCTTAATAGAAGAAAGCTAGATTCTCACATCTGCTTCTGCCAAGCTGTTATTTTTCTGCTTGAAATATATAAAGAAAATATGACTTCACATAGATATATAATCAGAAAAGCAAGAAATATTTTAGTAAACACTTCAAATAATTATGAATGTATTTAAAAAATATTATATTAAATGTGGTAAGTGGTAGTCCATTAAAAATTAGCAGCATCATAAAATCTGAAAGTATATTAATAACCTTTCAATTTGGTGACATTAAAATATCCAAGACCCACTTGGAATGGGTCTTTTACTCATGCATAAATTTGTCATTGCATGCATTGGTTTACTGTATTATGTAGATGTTCAAACTAGATTTCATTATATACTATTTTAAAAATCCCACTGATATTACTCTCTTCAGAAAAGTCTACGTATTGGGTAGCAATAGAGCTCAGTGGTAGATGTTTTCCAAAATTGTAATTTTTGCTTTAAAGCTTGAATTCTATAGTTGCAACCAATGTTGTCAATTGTTTTTCTTGAAGCGACAGGATTACTCTGTTCATTTTCAAGAAAATGTCTCCAAAATACCCAAATCTGAATAACCATAGATTATCTGAAAATTATTTCTTCAAGTAAAATTCCCACTAAAAAAATTAGATAGCCCATGCCACAATTTGAATAATAGCATGGTGCTTTTTCTCATGATGGCCAATGTACTTTAGTACACAGAACGGTCCGTGTATACTTCTGATTTTATCATACAGAGTATTAAATGGACATGTACTCAATGGTTAGCATTTAATAAAATTATTAAGTTTACTGTGCTACCAGGGATATATTCTTAGGTATAACTAGCTTTTTTTTTTTTTTCCTAAGCACAAGTGCATGGCAAGGAAAAATACAAGTACATGTACAGTTAGAATCATGATAAGGTACAAGGGGTTTTAGTACCATTGTCCATTGTTTTTGTATGTTCTGTGCAAATAGCAACAACGAAAAACATGTATCACTAATACTATATTTGTTTTCTTTTTTTTTTGGGTACTGGGGATTGGAACCACCAGTGGTACTGAGCTCCATTCCCAGCCGTTTTTTTACATTTTATTTAGAGACAGATCTCACCGAGTTTCTTAGGGCCTCACTAAGTTGCTGAGCCTGTCTTTGAGCTCATGATCTTCTTGCTTCAGCCTCCCAAGCCACTGGGATTACAGGTACACCATACTGTGCCAGCTTGCCATAGTATTTTGAAAATTCTTGATCACAGATTCCCTGAAAACATCTCAGCTATTGCCAAGGGGTAGAACACACTTGGGGAATTATTGATCCAAAAGGCCAAGAATATACTCAAAATGAAGTGAAAATCTCCTCTAATTTTCAATTAGTTACCTTACCATACTATAGTTAAATAAATCATAAATAAATTATGATTTCTTCTGACATTCACTTATCTGATATTCTAAAGAATATATTCTAGCTTACTGTTGGATGTCTGGGGAAATTTCCATCTCACCTGGCATTAAACCTCCCTCTTCAGTTTATAATCATCTCATTGCTTATGATTTTTAAAAATTAATTTCAGTGCTTGACTAGCAAGAGCAAGGCCCTGGGCTTGATCTCTAGTACCTCACAAAACAACAACAAAACCCCCCAAAAACAAAAAAATATTTTCTCCAGAACAGAGTTTTTATTTGTTTTTAATTCTGATAATGTCCCTTTGTGGGTTATAACCTACAATCTGATGAAAATGCTCATTTTAACCTTTAGACAGATGTTCTGTGAAGGCGGTTCCAAAGGGGCCTTAAAAATCTAGAGCTGTTAAAAAAAAATCTAGTTATACTTCATGAAGGAGATAGTTACATCTTATAAGGTGTATAATTGGAAGTCCAACTATCTCAAATTATGGCTCGACAATTTTCTCTTTTCAGACCTTGTAGCTGTTGGATGTGAGTTCAACAGGGTCCATTATCGTAATGGCCAAGTGTTTCAGCCCAACCCCCTGTTTAGCTGCCTCTGTGTGAGTGGGGCAATTGGATGCACTCCTCTGTTCATACCTGAGCTGGCTGACAGCCAGTGCTCTAGAGCTAAAGATGGAAAGAATTCTGATCAGTCCAAGTGCGGCATGGGACCATTACAAAGGCAGCTCTCAACAAGCTTCAAGACGATGCCAGGTGCTTATACATAGAGCTATTTCTCATATATGACTTGGTGGCTTTCTTTCATGTTCCTTTTGTGTATCACAGGTACAGAATGAATGGGTGATCAACGTAAGATGTAGTCTGAGTGTACCATCCCACTCAGTCTTTGCCTCAGGCAGGTGTATTCTGGTAAAAGTATTCCAGTTTAAAAAAGCTATACTAGGTCAGGAAACTCAAATTTTACACCTCTGCTTATTCCAACCTCTCCTAAGGAAAACTAACCAAATATTGTTCTCATGTATCCTGGGAAAACTTCTATTTGTATTGTTTTATTATAGGCAGAAGTTTGGCCATCTGTTTCTCCAAATTTTCAAAGGCAACCTTTCTATATGATATAAACAAATGCAAAACGACTAAGTAAAAAATACTTATGGACTAACATGTTTTGAATTTGTAAATATTATTTCTAAAACTAGAAAAATGAAGTCCTTTTATTCACTCTAAAATTGAAGTTCAACAATTTACCGCTTTCTCTAAATACACACATTTACACATGCCTCCCACAGAGGCTTTTAAAAGTAGCTTACCCATGTATGTAGTTAGAAAAATGAAATGAGCATTTATTACTTGAGTACCTAGATGTTTGCAAGTGCAAACAGAATTCTAGTTTGCTTTCAAGTTATCACCCTTCTTTAAGTGTCAGAGTATTTTCAGGACAGAAATTTCAAAAACACCAGCAAATGAAGCACAGGAGAGGAAGTACTCAAAAGGGGCAACGCTGATGCCAGCTTCTTGAATTTAGCGTGCAGTGAATATTGTCATGGAGATACAGAATATTGGTGTATGTTAAAAACTCTAAGCTTTTTATTATGTGGATATTCAATAAAAACAATAATAATCAGAGAAAAGAGTTTTAGATATTTAAACCTAACTCTATGAGCTGGCCCTGTGGCACATGCCTGTAATCCCAGGGGCTGTAATCCCTTAGGAGGTTGAGACAGGAAGATCATGAGTTCAAAGCCAGCCATAGCAATTTAGTGAGGCACTTAGCAACTCAGTGAGACCCTGTCTCTAAATAAAATATAAAAAAAAGCTGGGGATGTGGCTCAGTGGTTAAGCACCCCTGGGTTCAATCCTCAATACAAAAAAAATAAAAAATAAAAAAATAAAAAAACAACAACAAAAAAACTAACTCTATGAAAATAATATACCCAGGGACCCTGATTATGTCAGTTCATTTGAAAAAAATTTATAGATTGTGGTGAGTTTGTATTTACCACACGATTATTTAGCCAACAGCATGACACAATTCATGCTCTAAAATAATAAGCCACATTATTTCCTTTTCTTTATATATTTTGGTGCTAGGTATTGAACCTAGGGCCTTGCATATGCTAAGTGTATACTCTGCCACAGAGCTATACTATCAGTCCCCAAATTATTCCTTTTGCAAAATGTACAGAAACAGTTGGTTTTCTGTACAGAATATGAGTGACTCAGAAGATTCTCAGAACCTCAGAGCAGCAGTCTTCCATAAGGAAAGCCTTTTGCATCAAGTTCAAGTTGGTTTCCTTTGAAGAGTTGGATCAATTTCAGTGGATTCACTTGGAGCCTGATTGGTAGAGCCATCCCCTGGTCATTTTTGGTGGTTAGTGCTTTGCTCTAAAAAATGAGAAAAATCTCCCCAAATGCTCTCTGGTATTTGAGAGTTGGACCTTGTTATATTTCAAGGGAAGTATATGTTCAGTCTCTCTTTTGCTTAGCTGTGGAAATGTATTTATGATCCGTGTAAGAATTTGGCTTTTAAAAATTAACCACGACAAAAACACACACTTTGAGATATATTTGTTATAGTAATATATAGTTTATGGTTGGAATCTAGCTGTTGCTAGCTAGGTCAGTGAGAAGCATGAGATGACATTTAATGCTGTCATGCCTTTCTCAATGCTCATGAACACTAAGCTTTTACTTTATAAATCTCCTCCAGTTTTTCTGCATTTTAATGAATGTTAAATTACTGAACTGCAGCTCATTTAACTTTAATCAGGGTTACTGGTAATGCATAATCTAACCTACTTTTATTTATTGCAGATGTGTGACAAGCTTGTAATCTGCTTCCCGAATTGAGGTCTTTTCTTTCTTTCTTTTCTTTTTTTTTTTTTTTTTGGAGATGGGGTTTCAAACTCATAATCTTCCTGCCTCGGCCTCCTGGTCAGCTGGGATTACAGGTGTGCAACTACCCTACCCAGCTTTACATTGAGGTCTTTAAAACTGCTGTCTACCTTCCAGGTATCTTCATGTTTCTGCTTCCTCTCAGCTCTATGAGCACTGCGAGATCCTACTGTAATAACACTGAAAGCAGTATTATGTTATCACTTTATACAAATATAGCACATACTTCAGAGTGATTGATATTGTCTATCAAGATGGCATTTTTTTTTTCCTGGATCTTTTAAATTTTAAATTAATATTTTAAAGTAACACAGTCTGAACTTTGCTATATTTAACTCAGACTCAAATTACAACCTTCCTCCCAAAGCATCCAATAGAGGATATATATTAATCTTAAGGAAATGCCTTGAGACAATAAACCAACACATAGTTTGCTCAAGTGAACCAAGGACCTGACTCATTCATGAGTCTAACAATCTCCCAGGAATTTACATGGAGATGGAAGAGTCATTTACCTTTTCTTCCTTCTGTTTCTCCTAAGCACTAGTCAGTGGAGGGGCTCTGTCTACTCACTTCAGACCCATTCATGGATCCATTCATTGTTTCCATGGATGATATGAAGTGGCTAGCCCAAGGAGACAGCACTGTGGGCCTGAAACTATAGGGAATGTGACAAAGAAGCTGAATAAAAGATTACACATTCGCAATGACTTATATAACTTTTATATTTTGGATTTTAATATATCATAAAATTTAACATGATCATACTGTTCTGATTAATATCTTAATTCTCTAATCCTACCAACATTTATTTCAACATCTGTTGGAATAATATCAAGCCTGAGGCAGAATCAAAATGGTATGTATCAATCAGAACATAAGTTTAGATTTAATACTCAGGATAAGCTAGAATGATATAAATGAGTAAAGCTATTCAGTTTTTTAAAGATACAGAATTTTAATTCGTTCTAAGAAATTGGTCTATCATACTTGATTAAAACATAATTTGGGTGGCAAGAAAAAGGGAAATAGAATGAATTAGACCATAAACTTCTTTGATTATGAGTTACATTATTCATAAAGATCTTTATTAGCTTAATGATTAAAAATTATCTGTCTACACAAGTTCATAAATATACATACATATGTACTTTCTCTCTGTTTTAGCTTTTAGGAATCTTCCACTTAGTTGGAAAAGAAAATGTCTCGTGCAAGCTACAAAGTGGACTCCCTGCTCCAGAACATGTGGGATAGGAATATCTAACAGGGTCACCAATGAAAATAGCAACTGTAAAATGAGAAAAGAGCAAAGACTATGTTATATTCAGCCATGCAACAGTAATATATCACATACAGTAAAGGTAAAGTTTAATTAGATTTCATTTAATTATAATTCAATATTAAGAAATTCCTAGAAAGTTATAATGTGTGTGTGTTTTGGTGGTAGGGTTTTGTTATAAAAATAAAATCATCTTATTGAAACTCTCAAAAATTAAATTATCTCAGAGGAAAATACTAATCACACTTTGTGGGGTAAAGTTTTACCTAGTAGAGGTAATGCTGACTTCTTGATCCTAGATATTATAATATCTTAATAATGTGGGTCTTGATTAGCCTGATTTGTTGTGGTAACCCTACATAGTGTTCTCTAAGAGTAGATCTTACATTCTTTTTTCTTTTCCATAATAATTTTACATAGTGGAATCAAAGTAATGAATACAGAATTGTGGTTAAACAGATATTAAGACCATCAAGTAAAGAATATCTGATCTTAAGTTATATATCACCAACTTTGAAGTAGACCACACAATTTCCAAAATGCTCTGTACTTACTAGATAGCAAACCTGTCAAAGGACTGTAAGAAAATATTTACTCTAAGATTGTTTTGTTATAACTAGATCTGGTCCCATTTTTTTCAGGAGGGGGTACTGGTCATCCAATCCAGGGATGCTTTACCACTAAGCCACATCCCCAACCCTTTTTTTTTTTTTATTTTGAGACAGTCATGCTAAGTTGCTGACGCCGACCTTGAGCTTTGGATCTTCCTGTCTCAGCCTCTGGAATTGCTGGGATTACAGGTGTGTGCCACCACACCTGGCTGGTCCTATTTTTTAAACTAGACAACTGTCTCAAAGGAGTAATTTTTGGAAATTCTGTAAAATTCTTCTGATTACCAACACATTCCCTATCTTATCAGCAAGTTGACAACCCAATTTTAAAGGAATTAAGATATATGCCATAGTCTTTGATATTAAAGAAAATTCCACTTATTGAGGAATTGAGTAAAGAACAGACAGCAAGAAACATTGAAGAGAGTGTCATAATGTGATGGTATGAACAGGGAGGGCAGATTTCTGGTGAGAGGGGGTTTTAAAGGAAGAGAAGAAAGAGTGCTGGAAGTTCCTAAACAGCAACTAATATTAATGCCCAGCAATAATAATTATTTTTTCAGTGCTGGGGTATCAGAAATAATTTTATTATTACAGAGGTGTTATTAAAATGTTTTACATAATATTTTTCTAAATTACTATAATCAACTGTAAAGAATGATTTTTTTAACTTTATGTATCTTTTCAGATTCCTAAAGGAAAAAGATGCCAACCTATCTTCCAACTCTCCAAAGCTGAAAAATTTCTCTTTTCTGGGTGCTTAAGTACTCAGAGTTACAAACCCACTTTTTGTGGAATATGCCTGGATAAAAGATGTTGCATTCCTAATAAGTCTAAAATGATTACCATCCAATTTGATTGCCCAAATGAAGGCTCATTTAAGTGGAAGATGCTCTGGATTACATCTTGTGTATGTCAAAGAAATTGCAGGGAACCTGGAGATATGTTTTCTGAGCTCTTGATTCTGTAAAGCTAAGGTTAGTTGTCATGTCATATAATCAAAAAACTAGAGTGGTTATAAAAGGTTGGCAATACTTTGAGTTTAAAACATAATATTCTCTGGTAACTGCATTGAAGATATCAAAAGTATCTAAAAGAGGTTCTAAAAATATATGTAAAACCTGAAAAACCTGAAATTGAACTCATTTTTAAAATATATGCTATAATGATATAATTTTGGTACCACACAAGCAGTCCATATATAATAAAAGCATAATTTATAAGGAAATATTTTATTCTACAAAATAATCTGGAACACTTTGCTAATGAGGTGTAAAAAGGCATATTAAATTTTAAAAATTTAATCTATATGTGGCAATATGTAGGCTTCTATCAGATAATCATTATAGGGCAAAAAAGATTCTGTATTCCTGAATAGAAAAATAAGATTAAACTATAAACATATTTATAATTTTTAATGCCCTATACTATCAGTTAAGATTTCTCTTGGGAAAGAGAAAATAAAGCTTCTTTGGCTACTGTTAACAAATGTACTATGTTTAGTATAAACAATGTATTATGTTTAGTATAAATACTATGAAAAACTAAATTTCCAAGATAAAAGACCAAGAATAGTATTACTTTGCAAAGGAAACTTAAAAGCAAACACTAAAGAAAGCACATAACAGATTAGTTTGTCTTGAAAACAAACTGTTCCTACAAATCACTTCCTTAAATGATATGACTAAAAATAATGTTAAAGAATCAAAGTGGAGACTATAGTAACTGGAACAACTTCAACAGACTATTACATAGCCAGTGAAGAAAGTTATCAAGCTTGGTAATGTTTTATTTACTTATATACTGGTGATATGTAAAATAACAAATAGTACTGTTTGAAAATATGTACATTTATTACAAAATCAACTGGATTGATAAAAAAGCAATGATACTTAAAAATAATTTAAAACATAGTATAAACAAGTTTTTTATAGAAGAAATACAATCTCTTTAACAGTTATAATAAAGCCTGTCTCTGAAGTTAGTGGATATTACATGGAAATATTTATATTTTATGTTCTTCAATTCCTAGTATATACTTTTAAAGAATCAATTTAAACAATATCAAAATATAAATTATAAATAAGTATAAAAAGTATATCTGTACAAGTTTTTTTTTTTTTTTTTTTTTTAACCAAAGACATGATTATTGGTGTATAAGTATTAGGCAATAAATAAAGCAAAGGCAAACTGTTAAAGAACTCTGTTCTCTCAATTTTATAAACTGCTTATAGTGAAGGTAATAGGATTTACTAATTTCACACACTGGTATCAATGAATTGTGATTAAACAGAAACCACTCTTTTTTAGACAATACTCTGATATGAAAAACAAAGTGAATTTTCTAAATCACAAAAATGCTAAAAAAAAAAAATGTGAAATTAGGAAAAAGTGACAATCATATTTCTTGGTTTCTTTTTCACACAGCTACTCTTAGCCTAGGGAAGTCCTCCACAGGCATGCTCTTTGTGGCGTCTAGTTGGTTATACTCCTGGATAAGAGCTGACAAAGATGACACAGCTTCTGTGAAACAGCTCTCCTCCATCCCTTCAACCTGTAGATAGTGATGGAGGTGAGCCTATAAATACAAAAGTGGGTAACAATTACCATTCCAGGGACTTTAATACATATAACTGTCCTATAAGGTAAATACTGTTAAAATTATAGTATGTTCAGCTTCACAACAGAAATGAGAACTTCAGTCAAATATTTTGCCTAAATCCTATACACTCAGGAAATACATCTCATTTAGAGTAAGCTTCTCCACTTCAGTTACAGTCAGTACAACAAAATGGTAGATGAGGTTGGTCCTTATTTGTAACGTGATACACCTAAAAGAGCCACAACAAAGGAAGGTGAATGATTACCTTTTTCTTGTAGAGCCTCATGAATCTCTCTCTCAGTTCCACAAAGGTAGGCTTCACGCATGTGTTATTTGCTAAAGCTAATAATGAATGAGAATGGCCCACAGGCGGTACAGAACACAGGCTGGTCTTCCAGCCTTCTTGATTCCAGGAGACAAAATGTAGAGAAGGTTTTAATCTGAAATTTAAAAAAAAGGTTTTAATCTGAAATACAAAAAAAAAAAGGTAAGAACTGAGATACAAAAATACCACGTGATGGTAGTGCACATTAAATAGAGTCATTACTGATGGTACGATTCTAATTGCTTAGTTTATAATCTAAGTTATCCTTTAAAAAAAAACTATTAACAGTATCATGGGACAATATGATAGGGAGCTAAGAGACATTAATAGGAAGACATTAATTCAGCTTTGATGGTGATTGAAAAAGCTAGAAATATATTCTTTAAGATTAGAAATCTGGGCTGGGAATGTGGCTCAGTGGTAGAGTGCTTGCCTAGCACGTGTGAGGCACTGGGTTCGATCCTCAGCATCACATACAAATACATAAATAAAGATATTCTGTCCATATACAACTAAAAATTATTTAAAAAAAGATTAGAAATCTGAATATAAAAAGAAATGAGGGTATTATAATTTTGTAATTCAATGGAGTAGTTTTTCTAATAATAAACTGTCAAATAGAGTATAAACACAGAAGCTGTGTAGTAATAGTGTTGGTAATAAGAACAATATTAGGTACAATTTTTGAACACTTTCAGAACATGTATCACATAATATTCATAAATAACAACTTTGTACTATTACTACTCTTACATTACACTTAAAGAAAATAAGGTACAGGAAGGCTAAGTAACTTGTTCAAGGTCATACTTGAGGAAGTGACATCGCTATAATTTGAGGAGAGGTTGTTTTAACTACTATGTTACACTGTTCCAAGCAGTACACATAAATTATTTTGAAAAATGGAAACCAAACCTTTCAATATTTCTGCGAAGATCTGAAATCTGTACATTTCCTCTAACCATGAGGGCACAGGCGAGATATAGGCTATGTTTGGGATCTGCTTGAATTAGTTGGTAATCTTTACTAAAGGCATCTGAAAACATCTGATCCAACCTAGAACAATAAAGAGTCATTGTTTATTAAAAAAAAAGTTTTTCAATATGTTATTATAAAATGAGAAGATAGTCATCCATAGGTAAAAAAAAAAAAATACTATACTAAAATTAGAATATATACCATGTATTCTAAATATATAAAATATCTATCATTCTCTCAAAGTAATCTTGATGGTAAATATTAGGAATAATTATGTAACATCTTTTTCATTTGTTTTTTAAATCTTTTTCAGTATATTGGTGATTTTAGGTAATTACAAAATGTTGAGTAGCATTAGCTCAATGTGGTAGTGATTTCTGAAACTTGTATCATTTTTGCTCAGTTGAATATGCTTATCTAATTCAATAGTATCACAACTATTAAAACTAATGGAAGCTATATTAAGACCATTATTTTGTAAAATACATCATAAATAAATTAATTATTAGGAAGAAACTATCAAAGGACAATGTGATGTTCTCCTATGCAAGATTAAACTCTGCAGTAATGTTGCTAAAGAGGAAGACTTTAAACTGAAGTCTTGTGTTTGAAGGATAAAAAAAATATAGGAATGTCTTCAGTTAAAAAGAGGAAGAAAAAAGTAACTGATAGTTTGTATCTAACAATGTACAGATTCTAGGTCCTGAATATGACCCCACTTTAGTTCTTAATTACCATGTAACTCAATACAAATATGATGAGATTACTGAGATTAACTCTAGCCAGACCTTTATGTGCTGAACCTATAGAATAAGTGGGAAGAGTTGCAAAAATCTGTGCTATTTATTTATCTAGTATTTATTATGTATTCCAGGCTCTATTCTAAGCACAAGAGGGCTAGCAGTGAATACAGTATAAAAATTTCCTGGGCTGAGGATGCAGCTTAGTGATAGAATTTTTGCCTAGTAGACACAGAGCCCTGAGTTCCATACATCCCCAGCATCAAAACCAAAACACACCACCCAAAACAAAACAAACTTCTTGCCCTAATGAAGATTATGTTCTATGCTGATTACTCCACAGAAGGAGAGAGGGCAGACTCCTTAAAAGGGCTGGTGAGTTTTGGGAATTTCATCAATCCTTTGTGATTATGTTCAAAATTTTGGAATGCATGTGGTTTGAGCATTTTTTATGAAGTTGACTTATAGACATTACTTTAGAGATTGATACTCAGAAGAAGTTAAGAGCCCCCACACAACAAGCAGGCCGACACATAGGTTATTTTCTTGTAAGATTCAAAAACTAGTGAGGAACTATTATAATTAGTGGGATGTGTGTCCACATTAAAAGTGTAAATTCTACTTATTAAATATACTAATTTAATATGCTGGGCTGATAGTAGTAAACATTCAATGATCAACATGTTTCATACACTGTATATGGTACATACATGACAAGGCCATTATGATCCCATGCAGAAAAGAAATTCTGCTTGTTAGTTGGCACAACTGGTCGGTTGCTACTGGCTCAAATGAAAGTTTATCAATGTCATTATAATATTTCTGCACCATAGAATCATTTTCTTGCCAGAATCTTAACTATAAAAAGGAATCTTTAGTTTTATTATATATTCCAGGCTCTGGAATCTATACATACTATCTACAGAGTTTGGCAGGACCTTTTTCCTTTCAACTGTAAATGCCACAGTGAACTTTTCAGGCTCATCATCACTGTACATGATAAGATTACCTTAAAACCACAATGTCTGTAAATAAACTGATGTAAACTTTAATTTTAAAACTCCCAAAAGCGTAAAAATTACACCATTGGATTTAATTTCAAATAGTTTGATATTTTTAAATGATTACTTCTAAACAAGCATTCATCCAATGAAAAAATGGCTGTTATCGACTGTATTTTATACACTTCTCACAAATAAAATGACATAACTACAATTACTATAAACTTTTCTCTTAAATTTTCTTTAAAAGTATGTCAAGTTCTGAAGAAACTGAAATTAAGTTACATCTTACCTCCGAGGAGGAACATTAATGTCTGCCAGTGTATATAGAGGTGTTAGGCTTGACACAAGATAATGAAGTTGTGGAAAAGGAACTAAATTCATGCTGATTTCATTAATGTCCATGTTAAGGGATCCTTCAAACCTTGAAGAGCTAAAAGTTTGACATTAAAACAATGAGAAAACATCTTAAATTTAAAAACATACACTTTTAATATAATTTGACTTATTTGGCAGGCATTTTCTCAAATATTTTGTACACTGTTCTGTTTAGATATAGCTCTTTTTCTGGTATTACTGAAAGTTAGTATCACAAATAATTATGTGTAAGGATTAATTAAAATACAAAATATAGCATCTATAGCAATTCTTATTTCTAGATTACCTAAAGTGTAACTACATACTATTAAACCTGCTCATTATACAAAGTATTTTATTTAAAACAGACTTTAGGTCAATAATTATTATAGAAATTTTAATAATTTTTTTTAATATGCTTGATTCAGTCTACAATTTGCAATACAATAATGTTGAAGAAATCTTTGAGATCAAAGTTATGGAAATCTTTTGGATCAGCTAACAAGGAGCTATATATTAGTAGGTGGTGTAAGAGATTAAAATGTTCTATAGCAAAAAAAATCTTAATTTTGTTTGAACAAATACTTCTCCAGTGCATCTACCATAAAATCATTATCAAATACCCACTAATATTGTAGAAAGCTGCTTCACAGTCATAGGAATTAAAATCTGAGATATCATTCCAAGAGATAAAAATATAAGATGAAAGAATATAATAAAAAAGTTCCCACAACTTATAATAAAATCTAAATCTACAAAAATCTAAAACATCATCAAAAGCATAGTCATGTTTTTAGACAGGGTTACCTTGTTAGGTTAAGCATCAAATTTGCCACAATGTTGTTCATTGCATCAAAGGGCCTCTTGTGCTGCTTTTTAAAAGTCCCAGCACTTGAAGTAATCAGACTCTTGGGCTTCACAGTTTTACCCAACTTTCCAGAATTCACCATGAGGTCAATTTTGCTAATGATGTCAAATAAAGACTTTTGAGAGAAAAATTTGAGAGACTATTAAGAAGAGTGGACACAGATGAGCTACTAGGAAAGAAGAGAAAGAAAAACAATTTAAACTCTTTTTTTCTCTTAGAATGCTTAATACTGAAGAGCACGGTTCATGTAAATGCACGAGCAGGTGTAAGTGTACATAAGCTTTGTTCATAAGTTCCAATGTCATTTCTTACTTGATTATCAATGGGCAACACACAGTCTGCATGCTCATTAAGTTCCTTCATTGCCAAGATGCTATTATAAGGTGAAGTTATGACATCATCCTCACCAGAAGGATAAACTGAAGTCACAAATCTGTATACTTCTGGGAATTCATCTTCAAGCACCTTTAAAAGAAATGTACCAAGTCCAGATCCTGTTCCTGAGGATTAAAATTTCAAAATGAAAATAGCAATGAATGATTTAGAATATAATTGTGAGGAACTTGGAATTTTTGTTTTATTTGTAGAAATAATTTTCAACTTATTTCTGTGTGAGTATATATTAGCTAATCCAATTTCAGATAAAGGGCACATGGGTAGTTAGACTCAAAGTCCTGAATTACATCTCTGACTGTGACTATGACTTTGGGATAGCTTTCTATATTTCACTTTTTCATATATCTAAACCATTAGATGTCAAGAGAACTGAACAGTGAAAAATTCAACTAAGACAGTATTCAAAGTACGCTTAATATCAAGCAATTTAGAAGGGGAAAAAACCCTATCTTGACAGCATTGGTATAGTATACATACAATCTGAATAATGAAGAAAACTGTCATGCCATTAAGTAACTTAAAAAAATGAGTCAAGCTGGGCGCAGTGGCACAGGCCTGTAATCCCAGCTACTCAGGAGGCCGAGACAGGAAGATCACAAGTTCAAAGCCAGCCTCAGGAAAAAGTGAGGTGCTAAGCAATTCAGTAAGACTCTTTTCTGATGCATAAATTTCATTTATATAAATTCAGATTTTTTTTTTCTTTTGTGGTACTGGAGATTGAACCTAGAGGTGCTCTGCCACTGAGTTAAATTCCAGCCCTTTTTGAGATAGGGTGTCACTAAGTTGCCCAGACTAGCCTTGAACTTCAGATCCTCTTGTTTCAGTCTCCTGAGTTGCTAGGATTACAGGTGTGTGTCACTGCACACAGGTAAACTCAGAAATTTTTAAGAACTTTAAGAGAAAGTTAGGATCTTCTAATTGGAGTTTTTTAAACGGTAGAATGTGAACTATTAGTGAGTCATAAACTATTTTTTATCAATGCATCACATATTACAAGTAAATATGGTTTTCTGAATCTTTTGTTTCAGTCCGTGTGTGTGTGCATGGGTGTGTGTGTGTGTAGGGAGTGTTGTGTTAGGATATTAAATGTATTTCTTTTTATTGTGGTTAAAAAAGTATCATGTCATTGACCTAACTTACGCAGATAAATATGAAAAGGCTATGATGCTAGAATTACTATATGAAAAATATTTTTTTAGGTAGTCTTTAATAGCAGTGTAGGGAAGTGGAAACTTATATATTGTGGCTAATATAAATAGATACAATATTGTAGGAAAGTATATTAGTGATATCAACCAAAATGAAAAAGTTCACATCGGTCCCATCTTCCTTTCTGGGAATATTGCCTATAGCTATAGTGGCACAAATGTATTATACTAATTCAAAGATAAAAGTGTCTTGATTATGATGGTCTTCTAAAGACATGGTTACACAGTAAATACAATTTTAAAATGCCATGACAGTGAATAAAGACATGTCAATCATATATAACGTACTGAATATAAAATCAATTTCAGCTTGGAGAGAAAAAGTATGGAATTTTAAAAATCTGTTAATCCTATTTTAAAATTAGCAAATTATATTCTGTTTCTAATTTATGAAGCAAGGAAACAAAACACTTCAGTTCTAAGTTACAGGTGTCCCTGGGCAAAGAAAGCTATGTAGATCATATTTTCTAGTTTAAGTGCATTAATTACCATGTAATAGACGATTTAAAGAAATTAACGGAAAGAATTTACTTTTATTTTCTTATTGGAGATGAGAAAATTGTGGAGGTGGTTAAAGAAAGTATATTGATGCTGGGTATAGTGGCACATGCCTATACTCCAGTGTGGAAGGCTGAGGTAGAAGGATCATTAAGTTTGAGGCCAGCCTCAGAAAATTAGTGAGATCTTGTCTCAGGAAAAAAAAAAAAAAAAAAAAGGGCTGAGGATGTGACTCAGTGGTTAAGTGCCCCTAGGTTCAATCTCTAGGACCACAAAAAAGTATATTGATATTCTCTGGTAAGTAAATATAATGTGCAGAATGCTTAGTCCTGGTTAGAATATAAGACTGAACAAGCAAACTCTGAGAAAAAACAAGTATTCCCCCAAAATGCTTATATACTGAAATGTGGCTGAAAATTTTATGAAAGAAGCTAAAGATAAAAGAAAAAAATTTTCCAATTTAGCTCTGTTGTCTCTTAAAAAGGACTTAAAAACAAAACTCGTACTAGTAACCCAATTTTACAGAATTTTAAGGTAAGCTGTAATGTACAAACATTCAAACACACACACATACTCTAAATAGTGATATCTTTATCAAGCATAGGTCTGAAAGCAAGACTTATGTTTGCAAATTGAATTCCCAATTGGATTTTAACATTGTTATAGTCAAATGAGTGAATAACTTTACCTCCTCCCATGGAGTGTATTATAAAGAAACACTGCAAACAATCACAGTGCTCTGCCGACTTTCTGAGTTTTTCTAAAATCTGTTCTTGGTAAAGACTGCCAAAAACTTTGTGCCCCACAGCCCTGAAAATAAGAGTACAGATTTAGGAAAAATAAAATTCTTGCATTTATTACTTTCTGATTTTATTATTTCTGTTCTAAATAAAAAGATAATGAAAAAACTTAAAAACATTTTAATTATACTAAGTAAAAATCTATTCTTGCTTCAGTAAGTCATACTACATTATGTTGAAGATACTAGATAGAAAATTTTATATATATTACTTATGTATAATCCTCAAATATCCTAATAAGATAACTCATTAGCAAAGGATCCTAAATTATGGTTTTCTAATTTCATCTTCTCAACTTTTCTCTTGAGATATAATAACAAAATAAGATTTTAATACCCCATTTTTTGTTTCCATTTAAGGTAAGTCAGACCTGTATGCTAGGAGACAGGTCTGACTTGTATCTTTGTATCAATTCTATTAACTCTGACCAAATGGAGAACTTTCAAATAATGAAAGTAAGAAAACAGCTTATAAAAGTACTTTAAACTTCTGTTACTACTTAGTGTTACATAAGAATAAATCTGTGCAGGGCATGGTGGCATACACCTGTAATCTCAGCTACTTAGGAGGCTAAGGCAGGAGGATGGCAAGGTTGAGGCCAATCTCAGCAATTTACTGAGACTCTGCTTCAAAATAAAGCTGGGGATATGGCTTAGTGGTAAAGTGCCCCTGGGTTCAATCCCCATTACCACACATACACACAAGTTAAAAAAAATTTTAAAAATTAAAGGGGCAAAGTGCCCCTGGGTATAAGCTAGGTGGGGTTTAGGGGGTTACTGGGAGACTTAATTTACAAAGAAGAATTTAGAAAATCAGTTTTTCCCGATTCATTTTTTTTCTTAAAAAAAAAAAAAAAAGGTAAAAGAAACTAGGTGTAAAAGTAAATACATGTGGCTTTGAAGCATTGTGAAACACCATCATTTATTACAAAAAAGAAGACAGGGCTGAAAGGCCTAGCTAGCTCTGTCTGTAAAATAGTATATCTTGCTTTCATATCAGTGGGACCCAACCAAATAAAGAATGCTTAATTTTTTCAGATAACATTCAATGTTTATATAAAGCATATTCTCACCAGTTATTTCCTGAGCCAGAAATATCAGTGATGAGCTGCTTGCTATCAAATACATCTCTCAATGGTCCCTGAAGAATTTCATTCACTACCCCTTCTTCCATGTCAATCAAGACAGCCTAAAAAAGAGAAATAAAATAGGCATTTCCTTTAGAGTTACTTTCTCTGTCAATGAATTTATTAGCTATAAATTGCATTATTCCTTCTACAGTTTAAGTTTAATCAAAATCTTTCTTTATATAGAATCTGTTAAGAATTAAAAAGTAATCTTACCCTCCTCTAAAGATAGAACTTTTGTCCTACTCTAATATGCCAACTGGGGGAAAAAGGAACCCAATAATCGTTGCAACTGAATATCTAACCAGGTCTTAGAAGTATAGAGGGTAATCTTAACGAGAAAAAGTTCTAAACAAACACAGGATGCAGTCATGGTGTTCTTTATGCATCATGGCCCAACCATTCAATCCAAATGAGTAAAGTCACTATTATGTGCAAAAGTCAAGGCACTAGACAGATATCAAACATGACAAGAGGGTCCCTTTCTCCAAGTAATTCACAATCTGATTCATTTTTTTTTTATTATTAGTTGTTCAAAACATTACATAGCTCTTGACATATCATATTTCATACATTTGATTCAAGTGGGTTATGAACTCCCATTTTTACACCTTATACAGCACAATCTGATTCATTATCACAAAATTTTACAATACTAAGAAGAAAAATATTAAACATAAATTTAAGCATAGAAAGAAAAAATAGAACAAAAAAACTGAAAGGAAATATGGCAAAATGTAAGCAGGAATAGCTTGGCAGTAGGATTATGTGTCCCCTCTTCCCATTTCCTTGTACTTTACTTTCCATATACTTTACGATGAGAGCTGGGGGTGTAGCTCAGTGGTACAGTGTATGCTTAGCACATACAAGATCCTGGCTTCAATCCCTAGCACCAAAACCAAAACAAAATAAACCAAGAGAAAAAAAAAAATCACTAAAACCAAACCCAAATAAAAAACAAAAACAAAAACAAAAAAAGCTCAGTGGCAAAGCACCCTTGGATTCAATTTCCAGTATTAAAAAACAAACAAACAAACAAAGCAACCCCCCCCCCCAAACTGTTAATTTATGTAATTAACTATGCTACTTACTATTGTATGTACAAGTAAATTATAGAGAATATTACACAGACTATAAAACCACGTGTTATAAATGTACCCCTCTTATATACAGCAATCATTATATATATACTTTACATGCCTAAGACTACATAGGGTTATGTACTGGCAATTTTAGGGATTTTTTTGGGTGTTTCTGACAACATGCAACTCTTATCTTACCTGCTTGCTTTAACACCTAATCAACCACAAGAAGGATTTTACTACATGGGCAAATTGTAGTATTATATATTGTATCAGATTATAAAGGGAACAAATCAGCTTATATTGGTTTTGTTCCAAAACAGATTTATTGGGATGATTTGTGGAAAATTATTAAAGGTACATGAATCTCACTCTTGATTACCTCACTATCTGGCAAGGGAAGCAATAAGCAGAATACAAACTGACATTTAGGCCCCTCTTAGTAGAATCATTGCTCTAGTCACTTAGCATTAAAATCCTTATATATCTCTTTCAATCTTTCCTTAGTCATATCAAGTCCTTGATTTGTTTTTCCTCTGGAAATTAATTAAATCCTGAGAGTATTCTGGGTTCCTCAATTAGGCATCCAAAGTCTGGAGTCACAACTGTTCTAGGACTTGGAATGTTTATATTTCCTTTCAGAGCCACATGGTAATAGGCTTACAGCCTTTTCCTAATTGTAATAATAAGATTTACGAAATTATGAGTATTTGCCTATTAACTGGACACTATGGAGGCACCCAAGTACCAAGTTATCTTGCAAAGTCTGAACTCCTCAGTGGTCATAGCCACATAATACCAGAACTTCCTAAGCAGAAAATGGTAGAGTACCCTCTGGGAAAGTTACAAGTTTCAGCATGCTGATTACATTCTTTCCTAATAGTGCTTCTTCCACCTCCCACCTTGCTCACTGATAGTGGTTGGAAAGAGGTCAAATTGGGAGTAATCCGGGAAATGTCAAAGTCTCTATTAAGGTTTAGATTGTGATGCTGGCTCTCTCTACACCATTAAGTACATCAAGTTTAAGCCAATTATTCTAACAGTCTACAAGCATATTATCTCTACCTTAAGTTTTGCTTTCAAGGACATCAGAGATCAAAGGAACAAGAGATGGTTTCCAGATGCCATAGCACTACAGCTCTCCAGTCTTTCTGTCATTATACCGTGTCTGAACCCTTAGCACCTCAAATTCTTCCATAGCATTTAAACTACCATTCTTTCTGGTTATAATCAAGATTGTTGATTACTAATCAACAATCAGAAAACAGTTTGTACAGAAACAATCACAGAAATACTGGAATAAGATTAAAACTGTACATATGGTTTTCGACTCAAAACATTTTTATGCAGGAGAAATTATACGCTTATGAATTTATTCACTTTATTGTGGATGGATCCATGTTTTGAATTGGTAATAATCCTGATGAAAATTAATTTTCCATTATCTTTAAATGAAAAGTTAACTTGTATTTATTGCTTTACATGTTCTTAAGAGTTAAAAAGGTTTCTTTTGTTATCATTTATCTAGATATGTATCTCCCCTGAAACAATGAAACAAATTGCTATATCTAGTGTTTAAGTATGAAAATTGCCCCTTTTTGTTTCAGGTGGACACAAATGTCTGCTTAGTTTTATTAATATTAACATAGCTTAGTAAAATTTTCTTTTAAATTTCAAGAAGTCAAACTAAAATTTTATGGTCAAGTTAGAGAAACAATAGTTGTTTTGAAAAACACATGGAATGTCAAGCATATATATATCTTACTCGTGCTTTCAAAGAACGTATTTTCCCCTTGGAAATGCTGCCACCACCACCAACCACTCTGAAAGAAAAGAATAAAAAAGGTCATAAGATCTTCCATGGCTAATAATGTGAACTTCCATATATACAAAAAGGCTAGTTACAGGCCAGGCCTATCTCTTATTAGGCTGAAAAAGTGAGAAACTATTTCCTTAGCTTTCTTTATAGTTAGGACAGGCCATGTAATATAGTTTCAACCAAAGAGATAAAAGGATAGGTATTTTGGGAAGTTTTTCTGATAAAAAGAACCCAATGGAGCTGGTTCCAACTTTCTTCCTTTTTCCTGCCTCAAACATGACTGTGGATGTGATTCCTGGGGAAGAGAATGCATTTTTTAGTCATGAAGTAATAAACAGGTGGAAAAAAAGCTAATATACCAAGGACAGGGAAACATATGGTATCCAAGCCTTCGAGGCATTTCACCAGCCTTTGAAAATCCTATTTCCAGATTTCTTTGTGAGATAAATGAATACCCCTATTGATTAAGCTACCATTAATGAGGTTTCCTGTTGCAGTCAAACACCCATTAACTGATATACCAGTTAAATACCTTTGAGAAACTAAGGCTGTTCCTAGAATTTTATATTGAAAATGTTACTGAAGTACTGAAATCGATAACCAAACATTTGTATAGGTCAATAAAGACAGTACACAAAAAGCAGATTATATGAAGGGAAGCAGAGTTAAATGCAGATACTACAGGCCTGGAATTGGTAAACTGCCATCCTCAGGACAAATCTAACTAGCTGCCTATTCTAAAAGTTTTATTCAAACACAGCCATACCCATTTATTTGTGTACTATTAATGACTGCATTCATGCTATAAAGACTCTGGAGTAGCTATGACACGCACATTATGATTTATAAATTAAATATTTACTATCTGGTACTTATGGACAATGTTTGCCAGCTCCTGCTATAAGTTTCTATCATGCTATTAAAAATGTATAATTTGATAAAGAAATGTACATTAAGATGTGGCCTCATTTTTGAAAAAGATTTTTTTGGTATCCATTTGTAGAACAGAAGCTTCATGTGTTGAAAGTATATAGAAAGAACAAGGTGGTCCACCCCAGCCCCCTTCTACTCCCCCAAACTTGATTTTGGGAAAATAAGAGTGTTTTCAGGTTAAAATATACAACACACAGAATATATGAGTTCCATTACATAAAGTATTAAGCAAGAAAAGCTCCCAGGCTGAGTCTCAACTATGTAATGTAATGAAACTATTGTCTATCAAGAAAGAAAGGGGTGAGAGTAGGAACTTAGTTAGCTAGGGAAGCATTTGAAAGAAATATTACAAAGGCAGATTTGAGCTTCCTAATAGTATTTAGGGGAAAGGATGTTCTGGGCCACAAATAAGATGGAATCGGTCTTTATAATAGCTATTTCCATATACTAAAGACAAATGATAACAGTCATTGATCCTCAGCACCACATAAAAATAAAATAAAGATATTGTGTTCACCTTAAACAAATAAATAAAAAATAAATATTAAAAAAAAAAAGATAACACTCCTAACTTCCTTTAATTTAATTCCATGGTCACTAAAAAGCCTTCTGATTATCTGGTAGATTTCCTACAAAAGAGAATTTGCCTGTGATGAAAAAATGTGAATATAATTTCTCTGAGTTATAGTTTTTCCTTGTCCATTACTACAGTGACTTTTCACTTTCTGTCTTTCTTCTTTTTTTTTAGTTTGGGTTAATCTGATTATACTGGAGAGCAATGGATCCATTCTCAAGGTGCAAACAACAAGGTTTCTGAGTTTGCATGCCTGAGCACTAGGCCCTAGAATTCACTAACAAAGTGAAGGGTAATTAGCCTTTACTAGAAAATAATGGTTCAAACACTGAGCCAATTAATTCAGACTAGAACTAGAGTTTTTATTGAATTAAAGACTGATATTGAGAATAATTTCCAATGCAAGTCCACCACAGTTAGTTTTGGGAAGTACTTTGAAAATATATAAACTTAATGATTAAATATTAAAAGCTTATGGACATATCCTGAACATCAAATTCCTCTTTCATATAAAAGATTTATGATACATACATCCTTCATTAAAGAAACAAAAGTAATGTTGATTATAAGCAGTTTACACATCTTTTCTCCTTTTAGCACATTCTATACTTAGAGCAAGTATTCCTGATCACAAATCATATCAAGGAAATGTAAAGAATACTTTCAAAAGTTAGCCATTGTTAGATACATTAACAAGATACTCTTGGGGAAAATTTCAGCTTTAGTGAAAATTTATTTCAAGGTTAAGCTAAAAGAAACACACTGAAGGTTCTTTCTGCTCCTCAATAAAGCCTGAAAAGGAAATTTGTTGTCCTGTTCTGCAGAATACAGAAGAGTATTAATGATAAAATGAGAATGTTTTCAATGAGAAAAGCAAACAAAAAAGCCAGAAAAATTTATAGCTAGCAACTGTTTTTACTGTCCTTTAAAGAATTCTCTCCTAATCTGCTGACATGAAAAGAAAGATTCATCATGCTAAGACTTTAATACCATCTTACCTGGTATCCACATTTCTAAAGAAGCTGCTTATTGCCTCATCATAAATTCCTTTCTAAAAAGAAAACAAATTATAAAATTTAAGTCTTGCCTCTTGTCCAAATAAAGTCCTTTCAATTTTAATAATTCTTGTTATTAAATGATGCAATGGCTAGTAAATGGTCATAATAAAATGCAAGCATCATAAAAACGTTTAGATTGATTCTCTGACTTGTAGTACAGAGTAAATGCAAAGAGATCTATAGGTTGAGTTCAGCAGGCGGTGATGAAAGACTTCTCCATAGAATTTGAGAGTTTTCTCCAAAAATCAAAGAGTTTTCTCTGGATTCTTGGTGATCATTTGACAAGTGAACTAGTTAATAATCACATGTGTAACCTATATTATAAAGTACTTTCACATACTTACTGCTCTTTACAAGAACACTAAAAAATTGGAGACCCTGAGAATCAGGAAAACTTTTATGACTAAGGTTTCTGGCCAGTGTTTATTTAGACTGGTGTGTGTCTAATAGCAACATACGTTAAAAAAAAAGTCACGTTCTTCACTGACAAGATCTCATATATCCAGATAAGTGCTCAAATAAAGCATTTTCTGGTTTTGTTTTGCTCTTTGTGACAGGCAAGGGGGACTCGGCGGGTACCAGTACCTGGTTGACCGCCGCGTGCTCCCTCAGGGCCAGGTCCCAGAAGCAACAACCGATCTGGTTTCCGCACTGGCCGACTGCGACCAAGGAGAGGAACAAAAAGAATGAACGTTAGGTAGGGAAACGACTGCTAAGCTCTGCGGCGACCGAGTCCCCATGCCCCGGTGCAGCTCACCCTGTACGACCACCGACTGGGTCATTTTGGAAGGTAGCCCGCCCAGGACACCTTCGAACCCAATCCCGCATTCTCATTGGTCCGCAACTGCTCCTCACTAGGGGGCAGCCGTAAGTCACGCTGCTGCCGCAAGTCGTTGCCGTCGCAAGTCGCTACCGTAGTTAAACACTTCTTTAGGTTTGGGAAATCGGAGGGCGGTCGGTCAGAAGGTCGCGCAAGCGCACTTGCATCTCACCGTTACCATAGCGACCAGACCGCAGATCCTCGCTGCCTTGTCAACATCTTTGAGCGTCGGCAGCTCCGGAGGCTGGGGTAACTGACGGATAACCAGGATTTGGAGTGGTATTTTAAATATGTGTCGTTAAACTGTGCGTGGGCTATCAGAGGCTTAGTCTTAGTCCACAGTCTCAATATTTGGGCAGTGGGTCAAATTCCGTTTACTCAGATTCCACTGGACGCTCCCTTCAGCGTGGCGATCCGACAAACCCTTTGTTCTAATAGAAAACGAGCACTGTCGAGGAGGACAAAGAAATCCCGGGCGGATACCCAGTGCCAGGGCTCAACCGAAATTAAGTACACTTAGACACAAAGGACAAAGCTAAGTTCAGAGACCCAACCAGTATTTGTCGAGCGCTGTATACTCTTAACATTAATTTCTAGGCCCCCTGGAGGACTCAAAAGGAGTTAAGACAGATCTAGCGCCAACAAGCTTACAGTCAATTGAAGACACGGGCAGGAAATACTCGAAATAATATTGGCGGCGCTAACAATAGTGCATTCGTTGGGCAAGGGTGCAGCCAGGTAAATAGAAGTCTGATGGAAGAGATGGGATTAAAGCATTTGATGTATGTACAATGTTTAGATGGGATAGAGGAGGAAAAATGAAAAATCATGCATTAGTGAAAGGTCAACTCTTTAAAATTGTCAAATATTAAAAAATGCCACAAATTTTTATCAAATTAGATCAAATTTCAATAAATAGCTCAAGCACTTCAAATGAAATTAGCATTTTACACAGAAATCCTGAGAAACTACAGAAACCTTCTTCATTTAATAAAAAATTATATGACATTAATGTGTGGTAATATGAGCCATACTATTTAATTATTTATAACACCTTATTCCTCCATCAAGACTAATAATATTTATATATTTTTCTGATAGCTGATAAATTTTTTGTTGAAATGGGTTGGTTATGTGGCTGAGGCTTTCCCATATTTTCATTTGTGTTTTTCACCTTAATATTTAAATATCTTGTAATAATCAGCACCTTTAATCAAGAAATTTTTGTAATTACTAGATTTTAAATTCTTACTGGTAAGCTTGGAGTCAGGGTGGATATGCAGTGTGTCACTTCAGTTCTTAATGTTGAAGTCCCAAAGTTTGGGGCTTTCTAAATTTGGAAAACATGAACAAATTTTGTAGGTAGTGATGTGAATCGGTTTCTATTGATGAGTTATGGTGCCAGTTCATCTGGTATTCTGGCTTTTGCCCAGTGGTACCCCTGTTACAACTCCCGGAGTCATTATTCTCCAGAAAATGCATATGGGAAAGAAGTTAAATTAAGAAAGTACTAACAAATCTCATTGATAACTTTAATCTGGAGGGAATCAGATGATTCTGCTTAAGAGTCAAGCAAGGTAGAACCTTCCATACCTCAATATAGCTCAATATAGGCAAATCCATATTGGTCAAGGTAAGAAAAGCTGAACAGCAGGCCATACATTGTCCTTTAAGTAAAAAAAGTGTTTTTTTTTTTTTTTGCCTGAAGCCACTGAGATTTTTTAGTGCAGTAGGCTTGGAGAGATAATTGACTAACACAGAGAGAAAACAGATTGGACATTTCACATGCTAAATATGAACAAGACAAAAAAATCATTGAGAGTCATGCACACTGTTACTATAAAAGGAAATAGGATAGCATACAAAATATGGATGAAATACATGGTCTGGAACAAAAGCTAACCTAAGGGGATAAAAGAAAATTTATCATATATACTCTGTGCTATAGAAGAACTTAATCAAAAGAATATGAATATAATAAAATAGGAACTTGAAGACAAGATGCTAAAATAATATACTGAGAAATAAGCTCTCTGAGAGCTGACTGAGCCTTGCCTTCTTTGTTTACTACTATACCAATAGTTCTCAGAACCTTGCCTAGTATACAGTAGATAGTAAATATATATTTAATGAAAAATGAAATAAAATGGAGTTAAAGAACTGAGAAAGTTGAAGACCGAAACACATACCTTCAGGACTAATGAACAGTTAAAAAGTGTGAAGTAGCTTCTCTCTCTCTCTCTCTCTCTCTCTCTCTCTCTATATATATATATATATATATATACACACACACACACACACACATATACACATATATATGATATATGAATATAAAAATATCATAATATATATTTATATATAAATATAAATATATACTTTTGGTACTGAAGATTGAGCCCAGGGGCACTTAACCACTGAGCCACATCCCTAGTCCTTTTTGTTTTTTGGTTTGAAACAGGGTCTTGTTAAGTTGCTTATGGCCTCACTAAGTTGCTGCAGCTGGCTTTGAACTTGTGATCCTCCTGCTTCAGCCTCCTGAGCTGCATCACATTAAAGGACTAATGAATAATTTTTAAAAGTGCGAAGTAGCTTCCATATATTAGCTGTTGCAAATAATGCTTCAAAGAACACAAAAGTGCAGATATTGTTTCAACAAACTGATTTAAATTCCTTTGGATATTCAGTAGTTCCTCCCTTATCTGTGGATGCCTGATAGTTTATTACTATCTTGTAGATAGTAATAAACTCTGAATATGCTATATTTTCTATACATGCATACTTATGATAATTTCTGTAAGGTAAGCAAATAATAAGTCAACAATTATTAGTAGTGTAATAAGGTAGAACTTTTATAACACAATGCTGTAATAAAAGTGCCATATCATATATCATGTGCTTTAGGGCCATTAATAAATAAAATGATTAATAAATAAAATACTTGAACAGAAGCACTGTGATACCACAATAGTTGGATCTTATAACTGACAGCTACTAAGTGACCAATAGGTGGTTACCATATACATTGTGGAGGATATATTGGACAAACTGGTAAATCATGGGCAGGATGGATCAGGACAGTATAACATTTCATCATGCAACTCAGAAAGTGCAATTTAAAACTTAATGAATTGTCTCTTTCTGGAATTTTCCATGTAATATTTTTGGATTGTATTTAACTGCAGATAACAAACTGTGAAAAGTAAATTCACAAATGAAGGGGAGACTACTGAATACCCAGAAGGGGGACTTCTGGATCATATAGTAGTTTTATTGTTAGTTTTTTGAGGAACTTCCATATTATTTATCATAATGGCTATATTAATTTATACTCCCACCAACACTGTACAAGGATTCCCTTTTCTCTATATCCTTTGCCAGCACTTGGTATCTTTGGGCTTTTTGGTAATAGTCCTTCTAAAGAGTGTGAGGTGATACATCTCATTGTGGTTTTAATTTACATATCTCTGGTGGTTAGTGATGTTGGCCATCTTTTCATATATCTGTTCGCTGTTTTTATACCTTCTTTTGAGAAATGTCTTTTCAATAACTTTCCCACTTTCAAATTACACTATGTGTTTACTTTTTATTAAGTTATTTAATAATATATTTTAGATATTGGTCTCTTATCAGATGTATGGCTTGCAAATATTTTCTACCCATCTGTGGGATGTCTGTTTACTCTTTTAAGTATTTCCTTGGTTTTGCAGGGGCTTTTGATTTGATGAAGTCTCACTTATCTATTTTTGCTTTTTTTGATTAGGTATTTGGAGTCCCATCCAAGAAATCATTGCTCAGACCAGTGTTGTGGAGCTTTCCCAAGTTTTATTCTAGTGGTCTTATAATTTCATATCTTATTTTTAAATATTTAATTTACTTTCAGCTGATTTTTGTATGTGATATGAGAAGAATTTCTGGTTTCTATGGCAGAGACAAAGACAGATCAAGAAAGTTTTGCACTGGCAGCTAATAATCACTAATAATTTATTGGCCAAAACTAGTTATGTGGACTCCAAATAATCATAAGGTACAAGGAATTGCAATTCCTGAAATTCATAAATTCAGAAATATTTGATGAACGTTTGTTAGTACTGTATAAACATACTCAGACCTGCAGCATCTGTGGTAGGCAATTTCTAAGATGACACCCAATGATCTCCTTCTCCTGTTCTTGTGTAATTCCCACTCCTGGAGACTGGGATACACATAGTGACTTCTTTCCTGATGAATAGAGAATACAGCCTGATGGTACCTTGAATTGAGACAAAATTGAGAATTCTAGGGGACTAAGACAATTGAAATTTGCAAAGCAGAATGCCAGAGAGGAGATAGAGTATAAAAAAAGAAAGTTCTGGAGATCTTTGAGGGGATGCTCATGAATACTGATTAGTGCATGCATACGTAAAAGCTACATAAGACAGAGGGTAAAGCCCCTGGAAATAAGCATACAAAACAATTCATAGGGGCCACATAGAGCTGATTCTAATAATTCACATTCCAGATATCTTAAGTGAAGAGCTCTTATAATCCATGAAACATTTAGTTGAGTTCTCAGAAAGATAGTAGAGACAAACTAGTTCTAGATGAAAGGCTGTTTTAATCTAGCCTTAGCAAGCATAAAACCAAGCTTCCAAAGGCCCAGCTGTTTCTAAATAACTGTGTCCCAGACCAAAATTCAAAAGTACTTAGAGGACTAAAAATAAAATTATTCAGTAATGTGAATTCACAATGTCTGGCATTCAAATAAACATTTCTGTGTATGCAAAGACAAGTCCCATGATGAGAAAAAAAAATCAGTTAAAAACACACCAGGAAGTGCACAAATGAAAGAATTAGTAAACAAGGACATTAAAGCAACAGTTATAAATATACAGCATATGTTCAAGAAAGCAGAGTAAGCATGAGAACATTAGGAAGAGACAAAAAAAAACCCAAAAGAAAACCAAACAAACAAACAAAATCCAAACTGGATGAAAAGTACAATATTTAGGTGAAAAAACGCA